CCATAGATACATGACCATAGACATAGGACCATAGACATAGGACCATAGACACAGGACCATAGACACAGGACCATAGACATAGGACCATAGACAATGGACCATAGACACAGAACCATAGACACGGGACCATAGACACAGGACCATAAACACAGGACCATAGACACAGGACCATAGATACAGGACCATAGACATAGGACCATAGACATAGGACCATAGACATAGGACCATAGACACAGGACCATAGACACAGGACCATAGACACAGGACCATAGACACAGGACCATAGATACATGACCATAGACATAGGACCATAGACATAGGACCATAGACACAGGACCATAGACACAGGACCATAGACATAGGACCATAGACATAGGACCATAGACACAGGACCATAGACACAGGACCATAGACATAGGACCATAGACATAGGACCATAGACATAGGACCATAGACACAGGACCATAGACACAGGACCATAGACATAGGACCATAGACATAGGACCATAGACATAGGACCATAGACACAGGACCATAGACATAGGACCATAGACATAGGACCATAGACATAGGACCATAGACACAGGACCATAAACACAGGACCATAGACATAGGACCATAGACATAGGACCATAGACATAGGACCATAGACACAGGACCATAGACACAGGACCATAGACATAGGACCATAGACATAGGACCATAGACATAGGACCATAGACACATGACCACAGACACAGGACCATTGACACGGGACCATAGACACAGGGCCATAGACACAGGACCATAGACACAGAACCATAGATACAGGACCATAGACATAGGACCATAGACATAGGACCATAGACACAGGACCATAGACATAGGACCATAGGTACAGGACCATAGACACAGGACCATAGACAGATGACCATAGACACAGGACCATAGACATACGTAGGACCATAGACACAGGACCATAGACAGAGGACCATAGACACAGGACCATAGACAGATGACCATAGACACAGGACCATAGACACAGGACCATAGACACAGGACCATAGACATAGGACCATAGACATAGGACCATAGACATAGGACCATAGACACATGACCACAGACACAGGACCATTGACACGGGACCATAGACACAGGGCCATAGACACAGGACCATAGACACAGAACCATAGATACAGGACCATAGACATAGGACCATAGACATAGGACCATAGACACAGGACCATAGACATAGGACCATAGGTACAGGACCATAGACACAGGACCATAGACACAGGACCATAGACATACGTAGGACCATAGACACAGGACCATAGACAGAGGACCATAGACACAGGACCATAGACACAGGACCATAGACAGAGGACCATAGACACAGGACCATAGACACAGGACCATAGACACAGGACCATAGACATACGTAGGACCATAGACACAGGACCATAGACACAGGACCATAGACACAGGACCATAGACACAAGAACATAGACACAGGACCAAAGACACAGGACCATAGCTACAGGACCATAGACACAGGACCATAGACACAGGATCATAGACATAGGACCATAGATACATGACCATAGACATAGGACCATAGACATAGGACCATAGACACAGGACCATAGACACAGGACCATAGACATAGGACCATAGACAATGGACCATAGACACAGAACCATAGACACGGGACCATAGACACAGGACCATAGACATAGGACCATAGACACAGGACCATAGACATAGGACCATAGCTACACGACCATAGACACAGGACCATAGACACAGGAAAGACACAGGACCATAGACACAGGACCAAAGACACACCAGGACCAAAGACACAGGACCATAGACACAGGACCATAGACATAGGACCATAGACACAGGACCATAGACACAGGACCAAAGACACAGGACCATAGACACAGGACCAAAGACACAGGACCATAGACACAGGACCATAGACATAGGACCATAGACACAGGACCATAGACACAGGACCAAAGACACAGGACCATAGACACAGGACCATAGACACAGGACCATAGACACAGGACCATAGACACAGGACCAAAGACACAGGACCATAGACACAGGACCATAGACATAGGACCATAGACACAGGACCATAGACACAGGACCAAAGACACAGGACCATAGACACAGGACCATAGACATAGGACCATAGACACAGGACCATAGACACAGGACCAAAGACACAGGACCATAGACACAGGACCATAGACACAGGACCATAGACACAGGACCATAGACACAGGACCATAGACACAGGACCATAGACACAGGACCATAGAAACAGGACCAAAGACACAGGACCATAGACACAGGACCAAAGACACAGGACCATAGACACAGGACCATAGACATAGGACCATAGACATAGGACCATAGACACAGGACCATAGACACAGGACCAAAGACACAGGACCATAGACACAGGACCAAAGACACAGGACCATAGACACAGGACCATAGACATAGGACCATAGACACAGGACCAAAGACACAGGACCATAGACACAGGACCATAGACATAGGACCATAGACACAGGACCATAGACACAGGACCATAGACACAGGACCATAGACATAGGACCATAGACACAGTACCATAGACACAGGACCATAGACACAGGACCATAGACATAGGACCATAGACACAGGACCATAGACACAGGACCATAGACACAGGACCATAGATACAGGACCATAGACACAGGACCATAGACATAGGACCATAGACACAGGACCATAGACACATGACCATAGACACAGGACCATAGACACAGAACCATAGATACAGGACCATAGACACAGGACCATAGACACAGGACCATAGACACAGGACCATAGACACAGGACCATAGACATAGGACCATAGACACAGGACCACAGACACAGGACCATAGACACAGGACCATAGACATAGGACCATAGACATAGGACCATAGACACAGGACCAACTCAAAGTGCTGAACAAAATAAGAAAGCATTAAAATCATAAATAATCACAGAACATTCAAAAGAAAGATAAAAATATAAAATCTCAGTTGTATGAATAATACATGTTCAGTTGTATTGAACTATTAAAGTGTGAATGGTGTGACAGCCCTAGTTTTAAAACAGGACAAAGAGGTTTATCACATTCTCAGGTGATGTCACACAGTTATGAACACTTCCCGTCAGCTCCACCCCTCGGAGCCTGCAGACATCTACCAAGAGGGGAGCTGGCAGAGACATGTGACAGAAACATGTTTGACATTAGACACACACAAACACACACACACACAAACACACACACATGCACACACACACAAACACACACACACACAAACACACACACACACATGCACACACGCACAAACACACACACACACACACACACACACACACACACACACACACACACACACAACACACACACACACACATGCACACACACACATGCACACACCCCCTCAACTTTCCCTCCTCCCTCACTCCCCCTCTCCTCCCCTCTCTCTCCTCCCTCTCTCTCCTCCCTCCCTCTCCTCCCTCACCTCCTCCCTCTCTCCTCCCTCTCCTCTCTCCTCCCTCTCTCTCCTCCCTATCCTCCCTCTCTCCTCCCTCTCTCTCCTCCCTCTCTCCTCCCTCTCTCTCCTCCCTCTCTCTCCTCCCTCCCTCTCCTCCCTCACCTCCTCCTCTCTCTCCTCCCTCTCTCTTCTCCCTCTCACACTCCCCCTCTCCTCCCCTCTCCTCCCTCTCTCCTCCCCTCTCTCTTCTCCCTCTCACTCCCCCTCTCCTCCCTCACCTCCTCCCTCTCTACTCCCTCTCTCTCTCCCATCACTCTCTCTCTCCCCCTCCTCTCTCTCCCCCGTCACCCCTTCTCTCCCTGTCTCTCTCCTCTTCTCCCTTTCTCACCCCTCTCCTCCCTCACCTCCTCCCCTCTCTCCTCTCTCTCTCTCCTCCCTCTCTCCTCCCTCTCTCTCCTCCCTCCCTCTCCTCCCTCACCTCCTCCCTCTCTCCTCCCTCTCTCTCCTCCCTCTCTCTCCTCTCTCTCTCCTCCCTCTCTCTCCTCCCTCTCTCTCCTCCCTCTCTCCTCCCTCTCTCTCCTCCCTCCCTCTCCTCCCTCCCTCTCTCTCCCTCTCTCTCTCCCGTCACCCCTTCTCTCCCTGTCTCTCTCTCCTCCCTCTCTCTCCTCTCTCTCTCCTCCCTCTCTCTCCTCCCTCCTCTCTCTCCTCCCTCTCTCTCCTCCCTCTCTCTCCTCCCTCTCTCCTCCCTCTCTCTCCTCCCTCCCTCTCCTCCCTCCCTCTCTCTCCCCCTCTCTCTCTCCCGTCACCCCTTCTCTCCCTGTCTCTCTCTCCTCTTCTCCCTTTCTCACCCCTTCTCTCCCTGTCTCTCTCTCCTCTCCTTCCTTTCTCACCCCTCTCTCACCTCCTCCCTCTCTCCTCCCTCTCTCTCCTCCCTCTCTCTCCTCCCTCTCTCTCCTCCTCTCTCTCTCCTCCCTCTCTCCTCCCTCCCTCTCCTCCCTCTCTCTCCTCCCTCCCTCTCCTCCCTCTCTCCTCCCTCCCCCTCCTCCCTCTCTCTCCTCCCTCTCTCTCCTCCCCTCTCTCTCCTCCCTCTCTCTCCTCTCTCTCTCCTCCCTCTCTCTCCTCCCTCTCTCTCCTCCCTCTCTCCTCCCTCTCTCTCCTCCCTCTCTCTCCTCCCTCTCTCTCCTCCCTCTCTCTCCTCCCTCTCTCCTCCCTCTCTCTCCTCCCTCCCTCTCCTCCCTCCCTCTCTCTCCCTCTCTCTCTCCCGTCACCCCTTCTCTCCCTGTCTCTCTCTCCTCTTCTCCCTTTCTCACCCCTTCTCTCCCTGTCTCTCTCTCCTCTCCTTCCTTTCTCACCCCTCTCTCACCCCTCTCTCTCCCTCCTCACCACTTGCCGCAGCACTGCTTTCTCTTGGGTGTCAGTGGGGGGTTACGTGTTTCCGGTGGAGTGTCACGTGTTTCCGGTGCAGACATGGCGGCCCCTGTGCTGCTGCTGCTGCTGCTGGGGGCCGTGGGTCCGGTATGCGGTCTCCTGGAGGGCCTGTACTGTGGGACGGAGGTCTGCTATGACGTGCTCGGTGTGACACGTGACGCGTCCAAAGCGGAGATCGCACGTGCGTACCGGCAGCTCGCGCGGCGCTTCCACCCGGACCGGTACCGTCCGGACCCGGGCCAGAGCCCCGAAGAGGCGGCCCGGCTGTTCCTGCAGGTGGCCACGGCTTACGAGACCCTGAAGGTGAGGCTCCCGGAGCGTACCGGAGGAACTCCTGCTGCTCAGAGTAAACACGACCACGTGTCTTTACACGTGTCTGTGTGTGTGTGTGTGTGTGTGTGTGTGTGTGTGTGTGTGTGTGATAGTCAGGTCCCTCAGCTTTAGCACTGACCTGAGGCTGTGTGTGTGTGTGATAGTCGGGTCCCTCAGCTTTAGCTCTGACCTGAGGCTGTGTGTGTGATAGTCAGGTCCCTCAGCTTTAGCACTGACCTGAGGCTGTGTGTGTGATAGTCAGGTCCCTCAGCTTTAGCACTGACCTGAGGCTGTGTGTGTGTGTGATAGTCAGGTCCCTCAGCTTTAGCACTGACCTGAGGCTGTGTGTGTGTGTGATAGTCAGGTCCTTCAGCTTTAGCACTGACCTGAGGCTGTGTGTGTGTGTGATAGTCAGGTCCCTCAGCTTTAGCACTGACCTGAGGCTGTGTGTGTGATAGTCAGGTCCTTCAGCTTTAGCACTGACCTGAGGCTGTGTGTGTGTGTGATAGTCGGGTCCCTCAGCTTTAGCTCTGACCTGAGGCTGTGTGTGTGATAGTCAGGTCCCTCAGCTTTAGCACTGACCTGAGGCTGTGTGTGTGATAGTCAGGTCCCTCAGCTTTAGCACTGACCTGAGGCTGTGTGTGTGATAGTCAGGTCCCTCAGCTTTAGCACTGACCTGAGGCTGTGTGTGTGTGTGATAGTCAGGTCCCTCAGCTTTAGCTCTGACCTGAGGCTGTGTGTGTGTGTGATAGTCAGGTCCTTCAGCTTTAGCACTGACCTGAGGCTGTGTGTGTGTGTGTGATAGTCAGGTCCCTCAGCTTTAGCTCTGACCTGAGGCTGTGTGTGTGATAGTCAGGTCCCTCAGCTTTAGCTCTGACCTGAGGCTGGTGTGTGTGATAGTCAGGTCCTTCAGCTTTAGCTCTGACCTGAGGCTGTGTGTGTGTGTGATAGTCAGGTCCCTCAGCTTTAGCTCTGACCTGAGGCTGTGTGTGTGTGTGATAGTCAGGTCCTTCAGCTTTAGCACTGACCTGAGGCTGTGTGTGTGTGATAGTCAGGTCTCTCAGCTTTAGCACTGACCTGAGGCTGTGTGTGTGATAGTCAGGTCCCTCAGCTTTAGCACTGACCTGAGGCTGTGTGTGTGTGATAGTCAGGGTCCCTCAGCTTTAGCACTGACCTGAGGCTGTGTGTGTGATAGTCAGGTCCCTCAGCTTTAGCACTGACCTGAGGCTGTGTGTGTGTGTGATAGTCAGGTCCCTCAGCTTTAGCTCTGACTTGAGGCTGTGTGTGTGTGTGATAGTCAGGTCCCTCAGCTTTAGCACTGACCTGAGGCGTGTGTGTGTGTGTGATAGTCAGGTCCCTCAGCTTTAGCACTGACCTGAGGCTGTGTGTGTGTGATAGTCAGGTCCCTCAGCTTTAGCTCTGACCTGAGGCTGTGTGTGTGATAGTCAGGTCCCTCAGCTTTAGCTCTGACCTGAGGCTGTGTGTGTGATAGTCAGGTCCCTCAGCTTTAGCACTGACCTGAGGCTGTGTGTGTGATAGTCAGGTCCCTCAGCTTTAGCACTGACCTGAGGCTGTGTGTGTGTGATAGTCAGGTCCCTCAGCTTTAGCTCTGACCTGAGGCTGTGTGTGTGTGATAGTCAGGTCCCTCAGCTTTAGCTCTGACCTGAGGCTGTGTGTGTGATAGTCAGGTCCCTCAGCTTTAGCACTGACCTGAGGCTGTGTGTGTGATAGTCAGGTCCCTCAGCTTTAGCTCTGACCTGAGGCTGTGTGTGTGGATAGTCAGGTCCCTCAGCTTTAGCACTGACCTGAGGCTGTGTGTGTGATAGTCAGGTCCCTCAGCTTTAGCACTGACCTGAGGCTGTGTGTGTGATAGTCAGGTCCCTCAGCTTTAGCACTGACCTGAGGCTGTGTGTGTGTGTGATAGTCAGGTCCCTCAGCTTTAGCACTGACCTAGGCTGTGTGTGTGATAGTCGGGTCCCTCAGCTTTAGCTCTGACCTGAGGCTGTGTGTGATAGTCAGGTCCCTCAGCTTTAGCATGACCTGAGGCTGTGTGTGTGATAGTCAGGTCCCTCAGCTTTAGCACTGACCTGAGGCTGTGTGTGTGATAGTCAGGTCCCTCAGCTTTAGCACTGACCTGAGGCTGTGTGTGTGTGATAGTCGGGTCCCTCAGCTTTAGCTCTGACTGAGGCTGTGTGTGTGTGTGTGATAGTCAGGTCCCTCAGCTTTAGCACTGACCTGAGGCTGTGTGTGTGATAGTCAGGTCCCTCAGCTTTAGCACTGACCTGAGGCTGAGGATAGTGTGTAGTGTGAGGTGTGTGTGTGTGATAGTCAGGTCCCTCAGCTTTAGCTCTGACCTGACTGTGAGGCTGTGTGTGTGTGTGATAGTCAGGTCCCTCAGCTTTAGCACTGACCTGAGGCTGTGTGTGTGTGATAGTCAGGTCCCTCAGCTTTAGCACTGACCTGAGGCTGTGTGTGTGTGATAGTCAGGTCCCTCAGCTTTAGCACTGACCTGAGGCTGTGTGTGTGATAGTCAGGTCCCTCAGCTTTAGCTCTGACCTGAGGCTGTGGTGTGTGATAGTCAGGTCCCTCAGCTTTAGCACTGACCTGAGGCTGTGTGTGTGATAGTCAGGTCCCTCAGCTTTAGCACTGACCTGAGGCTGTGTGTGTGATAGTCAGGTCCCTCAGCTTTAGCACTGACCTGAGGCTGTGTGTGTGTGTGATAGTCAGGTCCCTCAGCTTTAGCACTGACCTGAGGCTGTGTGTGTGATAGTCAGGTCCCTCAGCTTTAGCACTGACCTGAGGCTGTGTGTGTGTGTGATAGTCAGGTCCCTCAGCTTTAGCACTGACCTGAGGCTGTGTGTGTGTGTGATAGTCAGGTCCCTCAGCTTTAGCACTGACCTGAGGCTGTGTGTGTGATAGTCAGGTCCCTCAGCTTTAGCACTGACCTGAGGCTGTGTGTGTGTGTGATAGTCAGGTCCCTCAGCTTTAGCACTGACCTGAGGCTGTGTGTGTGTGTGATAGTCAGGTCCCTCAGCTTTAGCACTGACCTGAGGCTGTGTGTGTGATAGTCAGGTCCCTCAGCTTTAGCACTGACCTGAGGCTGTGTGTGTGTGATAGTCAGGTCCCTCAGCTTTAGCACTGACCTGAGGCTTGTGTGTGTGTGATAGTCAGGTCCCTCAGCCCTCAGCTTTAGCAGTCCTCAGCAGCACTGACCTGAGGCTGTGTGTGTGATAGTCAGGTCCCTCAGCTTTAGCACTGACCTGAGGCTGTGTGTGTGTGTGATAGTCAGGTCCCTCAGCTTTAGCTCTGACCTGAGGCTGTGTGTGTGTGATAGTCAGGTCCCTCAGCTTTAGCACTGACCTGAGGCTGTGTGTGTGATAGTCAGGTCCCTCAGGCACTGACCTGAGGCTGTGTGTGTGATAGTCGGTCCCTCAGCTTTAGCTCTGACCTGAGGCTGTGTGTGTGATAGTCAGGTCCCTCAGCTTTAGCACTGACCTGAGGCTGTGTGTGTGATAGTCAGGTCCCTCAGCTTTAGCACTGACCTGAGGCTGTGTGTGTGATAGTCAGGTCCCTCAGCTTTAGCTCTGACCTGAGGCTGTGTGTGTGTGTGATAGTCAGGTCCCTCAGCTTTAGCACTGACCTGAGGCTGTGTGTGTGATAGTCAGGTCCCTCAGCTTTGAGGCAGTCAGGTCCCTCAGCTTTAGCACTGACCTGTGTGTGTGTGTGATAGTCAGGTCCCTCAGCTTTAGCTCTGACCTGAGGCTGTGTGTGTGATAGTCAGGTCCCTCAGCTTTAGCACTGACCTGAGGTGTGTGTGATAGTCGGTCCTGCTTAGACTAGTTAGTCGGTCCCTCAGCTTTAGCACTGACCTGAGGCTGTGTGTGTGTGATAGTCGGGTCCCTCAGCTTTAGCTCTGACCTGAGGCTGACCTGAGGCTGTGTGTGTGTGTGATAGTCAGGGTCCCTCAGCTTTAGCACTGACCTGAGGCTGTGTGTGTGATAGTCAGGTCCCTCAGCTTTAGCACTGACCTGAGGCTGTGTGTGTGATAGTCAGGGTCCCTCAGCTTTAGCACTGACCTGAGGCTGTGTGTGTGTGATAGTCAGGGTCCCTCAGCTTTAGCACTGACCTGAGGCTGTGTGTGTGATAGTCAGGTCCCTCCTTTAGCTCTGACCTGAGGCTGTGTGTGTGATAGTCAGGTCCCTCAGCTTTAGCACTGACCTGAGGCTGTGTGTGTGTGATAGTCAGGTCCCTCAGCTTTAGCACTGACCTGAGGCTGTGTGTGTGATAGTCAGGTCCCTCAGCTTTAGCTCTGACCTGAGGCTGTGTGTGTGATAGTCAGGTCAGCTTTAGCACTGACCCTGTGTGTGTGATAGTCAGGTCCCTCAGCTTTAGCACTGACCTGAGGCTGTGTGTGTGATAGTCAGGTCCCTCAGCTTTAGCACTGACCTGAGGCTGTGTGTGTGTGTGATAGTCGGGTCCCCTCAGCTTTAGCTCTGACCTGAGGCTGTGTGTGTGTGTGATAGTCAGGTCCCTCAGCTTTAGCACTGACCTGAGGCTGTGTGTGTGATAGTCAGGTCCCTCAGCTTTAGCCTGACCTGAGGCTGTGTGGTGATAGTCAGGTCCCTCAGCTTTAGCCTGACCTGAGGCTGTGTGTGTGATAGTCAGTCCCTCAGCTTTAGCACTGTGAGGCTGTGTGTGTGATAGTCAGGTCCCTCAGCTTTAGCACTGACCTGAGGCTGTGTGTGTGATAGTCGGGTCCCTCAGCTTTAGCACTGACCTGAGGCTGTGTGTGTGATAGTCAGGTCCCTCAGCTTTAGCACTGACCTGAGGCTGTGTGTGTGTGATAGTCAGGTCCCTCAGCTTTAGCTCTGACCTGAGGCTGTGTGTGTGATAGTCAGGTCCCTCAGCTTTAGCACTGACCTGAGGCTGTGTGTGTGATAGTCAGGTCCCTCAGCTTTAGCACTGACCTGAGGCTGTGTGTGTGTGATAGT